TCTCCCTATTTGCTAGGGAGACAATTTGAGATTCACACTGATCAGAAGAGTCTCAAATTCTTAATGGAGCAGAGATTAATGAGTGAAGAACAACAAAAGTGGACCTCTAAACTGATGGGTTATAATTTCATCATCAAATATAAACCAGGTTTAGAGAATAGAGCTGCGGATGCTTTATCCAGGAGACCCACTTTGTTGCCCCTATCAATTGTATCTTGCCAAGAATGGGAAGGCTTGGAAGAAGAGCTCAGCCAGGATCTCAAATGCCAGGCATTAATACAGAAAATCATTTCAGTTTCAGATCAATATCAGGACTATCAGATCATTAAAGGATTGTTATACTATAGAAAGAAGTTGATGTTACCTCAAAACTCCCCTAGAATTTTGAAGATTATGCAAGAATATCATGACTCTGCAATAGGTGGACATTCTGGATACTTCAGAACATTGAAAAGGATAGCTAATTTGTTTTATTGACAGGGTATGAGGAAGGATATCAAGAAATATGTGGATAGTTGTGCAATTTGTCAGACTAATAAGTATCAGGCTTTGAAGCCATTTGGTTTGCTACATCCCCTCCCGATTCCCAGCACTATTTGGTCAGATATAAGTATGGATTTCATAGGTGGTTTGCCTAAATCTCAAGGGAAAGACACCATCTTAGTAGTGGTTGACAGATTCACAAAATTTGCTCATTTCATGGCCTTAGCCCATCCTTTTCATGCAAAAGAAGTGGCAGAAATCTTCACCAAGGAAGTAGTGAAACTACATGGATTTCCAAAAACTATTCAGTGATAGGGGCAGTGTGTTTCTCAGTTCATTCTGGTCTGAACTCTTTAAGCTGGCAGGTACTCAGCTTAAATTTAGCACAGCATACCACCCTCAGCATACCACCCTCAGACTGATGGGCAGACTGAGGTGGTCAATAGGTGTTTGGAGACTTACCTAAGGTGCCTCACAGGAAGAAAGCCTAGGCAGTGGAACCAATGGTTACATTGGGCTGAATATTGGTATAATACCAATTACCACATTGCACTAAAACAGACTCCATACAAGGCTTTATTTGGATTGGACCCACCAGCAGTTATTAGAGGAGATGTGACACTAACTGCAGTAGAAGAAGTGGCTAGACTAACTGCTCAGAGAAATGCCATGCTAGAAGAGTTAAAGGAGAACTTAGCTAAAGCTCAAAACCTCATGAAACAGCAAGCTGACAAACATAGAAGGCATATACAACTTCAGGTGGGAGATCAGGTGTATCTAAAGATACAGCCTTACAAGCTCAAGAGCCTAGCTAAGAGAATAAATCAGAAATCGAGTCCTAGATACTATGGACCTTTTGAAGTCTTGGAGAAGATCAGTGATGTAGCTTTCAGACTTAAGCTGCTAGAAGACAGTAAAATACACCCTGTATTTCATGTCTCATTGCTTAAGAAAGTGATTTCACCTACAACACAGTTTCAGCCCCTTCCTAAATGCTTAAATGAAGAAATGGAGTTGCAAGTCAGTCCTGAAGAAGTAATGGATACCAGGGTAAATCAAGAAGGAAAAATAGAAGTTTTGATACATTGGAAGAACTTACCCAGTTTTGAAGACTCATGGGAATTGCTGCAAATAATAAGAGAGAACTTCCCAGATTTTCACCTTGAGGACAAGGTGAATCATCAGGGGGGAGTATTGATAAGCATACGAAGGATCAGCCTATTAAACACTTCACTAGAGTCTATCAAAGGAGAAATAAGGGAGGAAGTTAGTTAGATAATAAAGAGTCTGTAACTAAATGTGTATGTCCCTGCGTGGAAAATAGATATAAATAGAAAGGATAGAACTCTTTTGAGAGGAGGCTGTTATTTTGGTTGTTAGTAGTTATGGGAGATTGGGGCATCTCGAACTGTCCTGTGCTGTATACGTACTTTGTGATTTTCCTTTCTCATCAATAAACCCTAATTGATCAGTTCTTTAGATTTGCGTTTGATTAGTCATTGTTTTCACTCTGATTACTGCCAGTGTCTTATCACAATCACAATGAAAATGTTCTTCATTAATGAGTTCTAGTTCTAACAGGACCAATACTCATTAATGATTTAATTAATTAAAATAAATTAATAATAAGAGGAAAGTGGGATGCACGTCACTTTCACTCATTATTATTAGTTCCTCTGTTCTTTTTTAATTGCAATGGTCCACTTTTCACGTTTGCCAACGCACAAGTTTAACCATTAATATCTTATATTCCTTATTAGTAAATAAAAAATAAAAAATAAATCAGATTTTGAAAATTTAAAATGTATTAAAAAATATGTGATAAGTGCAAAATCACCAATGTAGTACAAGAGAACAGAGGTAGTATTATTTATTTCATTTTTCTCTTTTCTTTTTAATTCCAAATTACAAAAGAAAATACCAACTTTATTTAATTAAAAATACATCTTAACCAAGCATTTCAGCCCAACTGGTTGTGAGGTTACCGTGCCTAGTGGGAGGTCTCGAGTTCGAAACCCGCTAGGCACAAAAAGGGTTCGAAACTCAATGGAGTGAGTTTCAGCCCTCTGATTACTCCAGGCCCCCCACGCCCCCTCCCCCATACCCCCTGGAGTAAATATAAAAAAAAACTCTGCTTCAACATCATAATTAAATATAGTCTAATCTAATTAATATTTAAGTCATTTTCAATATTATGAATTAAATATTACTTAATCTAATTAATAAATAATTTCTTCTAACAATTCAATCGGGAGGTATAATCACTTGTTGTGTGACCCATAGGGTCTTATATATTAAGCACTAATCAAATTAAGGTCTTAGTAGAATCCCTAAACGATTTACCATACAAAGTTAATACATAAGAACCATACAAAGTTAATACATAAGAACGTCTGTGAGAACTATATAAACTATCTATGATATAGTAATATAGAACTCATTGTGATACAACCCTTTCATTCACGAACATTAGACTAATTCTAGACTAATTATCCATAACAATAATATTTTCAAAATCCAAAATGAATATATCTTTGTATTGTTCAATGACTGTATGATCAAACTAGATATGAGAAGTAGAATGTTCTCTCTAAATCTATTATGAGGAATAAATCTGTTCTAGACTCAACTACTACTTCATATGCTACGTGATGCACAATACATGTTGTATCTATCTTGAATGGAGTGCAAGTGTTGGTCATGGTCAAAGCGCATCACTTGGCACATGAAGTACGTATTAACCTCAAGTCGGAGGACTATTACACTACTCTATACATTGATACTTCCATAGACACATGAATAGAACATATATCAAATGAATTCTCAGTTGGGTATACCAATATTCTCCAAAATATTTATGTGACCATCCAAAATAATCATGAGATCGACTATATATTTTCTAAAAGTATGATGCAATCCACATACCAATCTTATCGCATATATCGATATCCTATTCTTGGTGATTATTGATTGAAGCTATTTTAGGACCTTATGCTATGTCACACAAGCTCTCACTTACTTGGTGATGACAGAAGTACAAGGAACACAAGTATGAATAATATATAGACAACCAAAACAACTAATCATAAATGTGTAATACCGTAGATCTCAAATATCATAAAACCTAAATGTGATCTAGTACATATATCTCTAAATAGTGATTGTCTCTATGACATACTCCCTCCGTCCCTTATAACTTTGTCAACTTTCCTTTTTTGGATGTCCCATTAACTTTGCCACTTTCCCATTTAAGTAAAGAATCTGTGGTTCCAGTTAATTCTCTCTCCTCTGCACAAACCTAAACCACACAGTTTTTACTTTATTAATCCACGTGCCGGTCAAATTTGGCAAAGTTATTAGGGACGGAGGGAGTATATACCAACACCTTGTTGCAATTATTATTGTGACTTTGTGATTTTGCACAAATGAGCCCCTATCCCCGACAGATTCAGCATTGCAAGATACCTCTGTTGGTTGGGCAATCTATCCCCCTAAGAGTAATATCTACTGTATTTTATGAGTGTTTCCTGTTAAAGGTATTTTCAAGTTTAGGGTTCAGTAAATCAACAAGCCACAATATCATGGTACCAGAGAATTACATTCCGGTAAAAAAAGGTATTCATGAATTTAAAACAAATACATTTTATGCATATCTTGCTCTGAACAATACGAAAAGATATATATACACATTGGCCATGCGCCACTATTCATAGGGATAGACATTACATAATAGGACATATAATATGTTGGTGGCATTTTCTGCTATCTCCTCTTGATGGAGAGAAAGAGACTAAAAATTAATTTTTCTTGGCTAAACTCTATATGCTTAAGTGTCTGTGTTTGTGTGGGTGTGGTAAGGGTGGGAGAGGAGGCGGTAGAGAGAGAGAGAGAGAGAAATTAAGAGAGAGACCAACCATTCATCAAATTGTAATCAAGTACATGTACTCACAATCAATTTTATAAGGAATTCTTGGGTACAGCTCAACACTCAAGAAAAAGGCCAACAAGGATAAAGTTTGACAGCACAACAAAAGAAAAAGCTGATGTGTGCAACTGTAGCATGAAAGTACTAAGACAGAGTCAAATTACATTTCCATTGCATGTAAGCATTGTAAGGTGCAACTTTATCCTTTGTTTAATGTACTTCAAGCTCCATACATGAGAGAAAATGCTGACGTTGTTCTTTCTACATAATGCCTCATTTACTCATCTAGTCCATCTTTACTACGAGTTACAACTTCTTATCCTCTTTCAGCTTTATATCCAATTGCTACTTTGTGTTCCTACCTCATAATATAGGAGGTAAATGAGGACGAGAGACTAACATGGTAAAGTTTAATGTACTAGTCATTTACCTCCTATATCCAATTGCTACTTTGTGTTCCTTCGAGTGGAAAACATGAAAGATTGTAAGAAGCTCAGGACGCCGTGAAATGAATATTAGGAATAAGAACATAATGCATCAAAATCATACATGACAACAATACAGTGCTAGTCACTCCGACTTGCAAACAAACCTGTACTAGTCCACCAAGGTTATCTCTGAGATCAAGAACAAAAGATGATGCACCCATATCACGAAGTCGCTGCATTGCTGAGTTAAATAGAATAAGAGGATCAGACAACATGACATAGTAACATGGTAAATGAGGACAAGAGACTGTAACATGGTAAAGTAATCATGTCAATATAGCTAACATGGTATGATAGAACCTTGGTGTAATTGAACTAAGAACAGTACGAAATCAGGAAGAATTGATAAAGAAGATATCAAGAAACTGTATTGATATAGATAGGGCACTTCGAGAGGCCTCTACTCTCCAAGCCTAGCCAATTCAACCGAATACATGCCTGCCTTCTTTTCCACCCCTTCCCTATCTATTTATAGTACAAGCCCTCTTATTCTTATCTATACTAATAGGCCCATTATAACAGGCCCATTTATTAGTATCTACTATTCTAGTATTCTTATTAGTATTATTATCTATGTTCCTATCAATACTCCCCCCTCAACAACCACCTTGTCCTCAAGGTGGGGAGTAAGAACCCGCCATGCCATTCAACTTCTTTCTCACGCCTCTTCCTTCCCAGTATCTCCCTGTTGATTTGACCATGTGCTTCAATGCTTGAAACTTAAAAATGAAGGATGTTTCTGTTGCAGAAGTTATATCTGGAGAAGTTTTATTTTCTTCAGTCGCCTTTGAGCCTTCATTAGCAACAAATAGCTCCTTTTGCTGTTCTTTTATGTCTGTAACTGTTAACTGCTTTGATATTGTTGCTTCCAGACTTTCCAGAAACAAACCATCATTCCCAGCACTGAATGTATCCATGTCTTTACTGAATTGAAGGAACTTGTGATTCTGAAAACTCGAAGCTTTGGTATTCTTCAACCCTGTGTGGACCTGCTGTTCTGTTAACTGCAGAAGAGTAATGACACAGTTTGCCAACTCATCCCGGTTATGCACAATTATTGTTGCACATTTGTTGTTGTCAAGAAATCCTTCATTCAAGGCATTTACAGTACCATATTTCGTATAATTCCCAGCAAGTATAAACCCCATTCTATTTTGAATATACTTCATACAAGTATCACTATCAAATCTGAAACCATCAGTCTTATTCAGCTCTTCCAAACTATTGTTTAGTAAATAAGGTTGCATAATTTCCTTAAGACCACCCAATCCAAGTTCCGGAATGCTACCAATCCCAGGTTTAAAATCTTCTGGGTTTCTGTCTAAGGCCCTAGTATACCTTCGAACTTCATGTGTAAGATTATCTGATTTATGCTTTTTGGACTCCTCCAGAAAGTCTGGTGGGTCAACGCTTTCTGCCCCTTCCTGAATATCCTCCGTCTTTTCCAATTCTTGAACCGAAGATTTAGACAACGTCTGCTTCAACTCAGGGCTCTGTGTAGGTGTTGGGGTTCCAAGCAATGAAAATGGCATCGGGTGAATGATGTCTAGCGAAGACAAGTTGTGCGAGACCGCAAGAGAGGAAGTCTGAGATCTTGGAAAAATGAGAGAATGAGTTCGCGATTTCGAACTGGAAGATGGGGTTTGCGATTGTGAACTGTGATATGAACCTGTAATCACTGTACGCGACTGCGATTGTGAAGTTTCTCCTCTCAGTCGCGTTGCACTTAGCGATGAACTGGAAGAACAAACTTGTGATGGAGATGATTGAGGATAAACAGTTCGCGACAGAATCTTAGAACGGGAAAGAGTTTCTCGCGATTGAGAATACACCTGCGCAGTTGACTGGGACCATTCATGTCGCGATTGATGTAGATGATGAGATCGCGACCTCCTGTTCTCGTGGATTTCATCTCTCATCGCATCCATCTTTTCCACCAATTTTGTCACCATCGTTTTCATCCGTAGCAAGGTTGCATCCATCGCCTCTTGATTATGTTTCATCGCAACTTGACGACGTTCCATCATCTCCATTTGCTCTTCCATTTTTTTGGCTCTTGTCCAGACCATTCTAAAACTGGAACGAAAAAAAAATTCTGGTGATGCTACACGGTCTCCGATCACCAGAACGAGTGCACAGTGATCGTTCACAGCAAGAACGAGGCAAAAAAAAAATCGGTAATTTCAACAAGAATTCAGGTCACCGGAAAAGATGCTCTGATACCATTGATAGAACCTTGGTGTAATTGAACTAAGAACAGTATGAAATCAGGAAGAATTGATAAAGAAGATATCAAGAAACTGTATTGATATAGATAGGGCACTTCGAGAGGCCTCTACTCTCCAAGCCTAGCCAATTCAACCGAATACATCATACATGCCTGCCTCCTTTTCCACCCCTTCCCTATCTATTTATAGTACAAGCCCTCTTATTCTTATCTATACTAATAGGCCCATTATAACAGGCCCATTTATTAGTATCTACTATTCTAGTATTCTTATTAGTATTATTATCTATGTTCCTATCATGGTATACCTATTTTAAGAAGATTCAATGGGCATGATCACAAGGTGGTCAAAACGACCAATAAATTTTCCTAGTAATAAACAAAATATGATGGTCATTCTCCATGATATGTTTCACGATGTGCGTTAATTTTATAATACCAACGTTCTAATAAGCTTTAAGCTTAAAGTGTACTGTGTACCAAAAGTAACCAAGCAAATATTCCCTCCGACCCATTCCAAAGAGTTCTTAAGGCGTGCCAAGGTTAATTCTTCCATTATAATAGAATAGATATATATTGATATTGATCATTAAAATTTACATATTGCAAAACTACACAAGTTCTATAAATCACAAAAACCGAATTTGAAAATGATAAAGATTATCAATTTAGAGATTAAAAGAGAGTTAAGTTGACTGCATGAATTGTGTCCAGAATGGGACAAAGATAGTAGTACTTATGGGTAGGAAAAGAAATTCATCTCAACCTCGGACAAGAACATGATAGACATGTTGATGCTGTAAAAGGGTATGCTTACATAGACACGGTGACGCAACAAATGTTATGGATGCTTATGGCATGCAGTATTTGTAGCCATTCACAATTGCAAAAAATCTAATACTTACTAATTGACTCTGGATAATCATATACAGAGGTTATGGAAGTCATTATTATATGATAAAGGAATTGTACCAGTAACTATATCCTTTTTGGCCAATGCATTAAATTCTTTAAGGCGCACATAACCAACAAGACTAGAACCGTGGTCAATTTGCTCCATCCGATAAAAAACTGGAGTCCTAGCAATGGGCTGTCTTTCAACATCAACGGATTCCACTGGTCCACATTTGCCATGCTTGACCTGACACCATATTACGGACAATTTAAATGGAAAAAATTAATCATTAGAGAAACTGCCGCATTGACTCAGATAAATGATCCAGAAAGACAAAAAATCATAAATACAACCATGAGTTTCACCAATGTTCCACCAGGACCCTGTATGAGTGATGATGCTTCAAAAGAAGATTTCCCCTTAACATCTATGCCGTTAACAGACATTAGTTCATCTCCCTAACAATCATATATAATAAGGGGCATGTTAATACTGATCACAAGATTAAAATCATAGATCAAGGGAACTGATAATTTCTATGCATAATAAAGGGAATCTAATTGATGTGCATAAATAATTTCTTCAATGCCTTTAACTCCCCCACTTTCTTTGCCAAAGAAGGAAATAAGGTGCAAATTTTTTACATGCCATTTATTTCCTCTTTTCCCAACCAACCAACTTAATATGACCAAAGTGCATCCACATTTTCCATTCTTAGCTACAGCCTATAAGCCTATATGTAGTGGGGTAAAAGGCAATTGAGACAGACCCACCCCCACAAACAAATGCACACATGCATGTGTGTGTGCATGGGTGCGTGTGTGTGAGGCTGTGAGCCCATGTATGCATCTTAGTGTGGTGGTAAGATAAACCACAAACCTGTCTCACACCAGCACTACGTGCAGGGCCATCCAAGAGGAGACCTGAGACTTTAAGTTTCACACCCTGATTGTCATCTGGAACCTCCATAAGATTTATTCCAATGCTGGTCATATCGTACCTTGCCATCTTGGAGAACTTTCAGAGATGACGAAAGCAACAAATGGCATAGAATAAGAACACTGAAATGTTTGATAGTAAAAGCACAACCCATACTAGGGATCAAAAAAATGTTAAAACTCTATCTGCATTACAAATAACAAGAAAAACCATGGACACAGTATGATAGGATGGAGTGCTGAAGGCAATCAGGATACATCAATTTTGAACCATTCTAACAATTTATGAAGGCCAGATAAACAGAAAAGAAGAGTAGGATGTTATAACAGAAAAGGGTAAAAGTACCAGGATACAACAGAAAACTGTCATTTGAACTTTTAAAGTGATTCTATGTTTTACTTATAATTGAAAAAATAATATTACATTTCATATCAAATGAATAACAAATTGAATTACACCCCCCCCCCAAAAAAAAATTGAATTCATCAGAACCAAGATAAACAGCATACTATAATGGAAATATAAAATAATATACTCTCTTCGTCCCGCTAAGATTGTCTCATCTTTCATTTTCGGTCCGTCCCACTAAGATTGTCCCATACCAAATTTGGTGAAATTTGTGTCATTTTACATCATTCTTACTTTATCAATTTAATACCAACCACATAAACTCGCTTTTCTTGATAACCGTGTCACCTTCTCATGTTCCAATGTTAGTGGGACGGAGGTAATATATTGCAATAACTAATAAGCAACCAAAACATTTAACATTGTTGAGTATCCCACATCAGTTTTTTACTAGCCTCGAGCGGTCGAGCCTAATGTATAAATATTAGGTAGGCCTCACATTTTCATGATACTCTTGAGGTGATTACGCTCGATTTTCCTGGTATTAGAGGCTAGTGAGATGGTGGTTTATGGGATGTCCTCCCCCTTGGTGGTTTGGGGTAGCCATCTGGGTCTCTTTGAACCAAACGGTACACCCCTTCTGTTGTCCAATTCGATTAGGGCTTAGGGGAGTTTTGGGCATCCCATACAAGTTGTGTACTAAGCTTCAATCTAGAATATAAAACCCCACCTTTTGAAGATCTTTATGGGGTGAGTTAGAGCATCAAAAATACTATTGGTTAGTTAGATTATTGGAAACACATATTGATTCCCCTTTTCCTTCAGTTGTACTGTAAATTTCTACTTATTCATAATTCATGTACACAATAAGGAAAAATATATTAGCCTCAAACCTCCGCAGGTGAAAGGAAATGTGTATAAGGATCATCCAAGCTGGTCAACATCCGCCTAATAATATCATGAGCTCTTGCTCTTGACTGAATTGGTGTACTTGTGATGTCTTCTTTTTTACTCTGGAGCAAAAAAATAAAAGTAAAATATTAATGAATTGCACTTTCAACAGTTCTAAAATCTTATTTCCATGTGTAGTGTTCACTATAGGATTACATAGAGATACTGTGAGGAAGGATGGATATATGAAGCACTGAAAGACACATCTTTTGGTACATATTAAAACAATGTTTAAGCATAATAGTGAGAGCATTTAATATTTTATCAATAGATGCAGGGTTCTAGTACTACAGTATATTGCAAAGTTTCATCTCAACTACCAGGTAACACTGGGGTCCAATTGTCCAAAGAGGCATGTGGAGCGGGTGCCCCTGCTTCTGGTCCCAAAGAATTGCATTAGAAAAAATGCAATTCTTAGATGAGTCCCAGACCAGTGCCCCGCTACTTTTCTGAAGAATTGCATTACAAATTAGATGATAGACTGGTGCCCCACTACTTTTCCAGTTCATAGTATTAATTCTTAGATGAGTCCCAGACCTGGAAGTCGTAGAAGCATCGCTCAGAAGAGACATTGTTATGTTGCAAAAGAAAAATATCACTGTTTATAATCCAAGCCCAGCACAACAATGTTATAATTTCGGGTTTTGTTTAAAAAAATCACTGTTATAATTTTCCATCATTTGCAATAGAGCCAAAGACTCACTGTTTTTTGGCTTGAAAATATGATGGAATAAAGTAAAATGGCTCACTAAACTGTCTGCGCTTCTTTGTGATGAAGCTGCAGTCAGTCCATGCAATTGTGGACGCGATTTTCACTATGGGTCATCCGGAAACAGTCTCCCTGTGCTTAAGTACAGGGGTAAGACTGCGTACATCCGACCCCCCCTTACCCCACCTTAGGTGGGAGCCTTTGCAGCACTGGGGTAATGATGATGATGATGATGTTTAAAAAAACAATCTAAAATAACATTGTGCAAACTACAATTTTAAATAAAGTAAAGAATAAAAACCAGATTATGTTGAAGCAAAGTGTGCTACTATCATTGTATAGTAATGAACTAATCTATAGCCATTTGTAACTTCCTCCACGTTCCTTTCCAGTCTATGATGCTTAACTAATGACAAAGTTAAATGTACATATTTATAAACTATACAAAAGTGATACTCCCTCCTTTCCTTATAATTTTGTCATATTTCCTTTTTTGGATGTCCTAAAAACATTGTCACTTTCCCTTTTAATTAAAGAATTTGTGGTTCCTATTATTTCCCTCTCCTCTACACAAATCTCAACCACACAATTTTTACTTTATTATTCCTCGTGCTAGTCAAACTTGGCAAAGTTTTGAGGGACAAAGGGAGTACTAAATAGCGATAAGGTATAATTTGATATGTGAAATAAAAGATTAAAATAGAGTGGTATAACGGCTGGAAAAGTGGACGAGAACATTATGTGGGGAGCTTATAGCATTGGATTTTAAGCTAGTACCCACAAAACTTGGTGTCCGGCATGAAAGTTTGGGCACGGTCTAAGTTCTCAACTGAAACTGGGACATTTGGTTTTTGTAGTTCGAAACATAACCGGAATTTGAATCCGAAACCAGAGCTGGTATAGGGTGGTCCATCTAGTTAGTCTATACGTTGGCCGAATTCGGACAATGATGGCCCATATTCTATTTTTCTTTACAAAAAACTCAAGATGTGATGAGAACCGCACTAGGAACCGGTAGGTGTATAAGATCCAAAACCGGAACCAGTTGATCCAGGCATCCAGCTGCTGTAAAAATTATTAATTCAGGAATATGAGTCCATCCCTCCTCATGTGCCCGTTGAAAAAAGTTCTATGTCTGGCACTGCCAGATGGTTTAAAACTCTCACGCTAATTATTTGGCGTTCTCAGGTTCAAAATGAACACTCTCTAAGGTATGCACATGTAGTGGGATAAACAATAAATCATGACTTCATGAGTTCGTGTTCAGTTTTCTTTTAGGCAACTAGTTGGACAGCATTCATTTACTCTTTTATTTCAAATTACTGGATGGTGTCAAGTAATCCTACGAAAAGGAAGTCTTTTATAAGAATTGTATTGTTATACATACTAGTAATAAATAATGCGGTAGTAAATGAGGAGAAAAACATTGCACAATGAAGAACCTCACGAGCCAAGTTTCGGGAGACCAAGAGCGATGGCCAGTGTTGAGAAAGCTATCATTGACAATGTGCCACACGTCCGCCACAATTCCATCGTTGGTCACCAAATCAGGTTCGGCAGCAGACGTACTCAGATCCGGCTCATCTTCGCGGCAATTTAACTGGTCCTTGTCATTGCTCTGTACCAGAGAAATGGCGGATGACTGGTTCAAGGGAAGTTCTGAAGCAAGTGATGACGGGGAAATGAGAAGTCCTAAAGAGATTGCGATGGAGGCTCCAGTGGTGATGAAAGCCTTGTGGTGAGAGGCTGCAATTAACCGGAACGGCGGTGAAGGATACGAGTATAATAAAGGGGGGAAGCTGTGGTTACATAAAGACAGTGTCATCTCCGCGCTAGCTAGCTAGTGACACTAGTTTCTTTGCCACCAGCGGTGTTGAAGGATACGAGTTCTCTCTGGACTTCCGTGCGAAAATTGGTTTTAAAAACTTTTCCAAAATCACTCCAAAAGTGTTTGTTTAAGCAGAAGTTGTTGCAAACATTCCTTAAGACAGTGTTTGTCATTGCTTAATTTAAGCACTTTTGGACTTGTAGCTTTAGAAAAGCCAAAAGTAGTGTTTTCAAATGTAATATTGTGCTTAATTTAAGTGATTTTAAGCCAAAAGTCAAAAGCTGGATTGGGGGTGCTTTTATCTCCTTCAAGGCTATTTTGTAAATAAGACTAACTTTAAGGGCAAGCCTATTCCTAAATATATTCGTTAATCTCTAAGATGCCCTTCTTCCCCACATCCTTCGTACCAGGCTTTTAACATAAAACAACCAAAAGGTGCTCCAACATCCAATTATAAAGATGTCCTTCCCTAAAGGTGCTATCGGTGATGAAGGTGCGGTGTCGCCTCTGGTGGACAGCAGGGGCGGAACTAGTATAGAGCTCGGGGGTGCACGTGCCCCTGCAGACTTTTGTTTGTTTAGTATATATACATATACTAGAGAACAACAAAGAGATCTATTCGCATGGTTTATTATGATGTTTTTACCTGGACTGTAATTTGTTGGTCTGGTTTGGTCTAGTCTGATCTAGTTTGGTCTGGTTTCTTTGTATTTTTATAATTATCCAAGTGTGGTCTGGTCAGATCTGGTCTGATTTGGTCTGGGACGAATTACAATCCAAGTAAAAACATCCTTACTCTAGTGTTGGTGTTCGTGTGTCAACTAGAAGGAAAGGAAAAGATGGAAATTTTAAAACTATTGTTGTAGTCTGTACTTATTATGGAGACCATCTCAATTGCTTATCACTTATTTTGAATTTAAATTGGGCCTTTAATTGAAAATTTTGGGTCAATACTCAATACTTATGTTTGGCAAGCTTGAGAATAATTCAAAGTTTTATTTAGGCCCTAAATCAATCTCTCGCCTCCCGACTTGTCCCTCCTCCCTTTCGTAATTTTGCATGCCACAACCTTTTCGGCACATCTTCTTGTTGTCGCCCGCCTTGTCGGAGATCTGAATTTTGGGTCGTAATAGGGCGTCCACTTTGTCGAGTTGTCGAAGATCTTCTCTTTCCCATTATGTGTACCCCTCCAACATCTTCGAGCTGGTTCCGCCACTGGTGGACAGTACACATATTTCGACGTAGAGCTCCGCTATATGATTCGAAACTGGAGAGGGCTACAAGTTGGGCAGAATCGCAGGAATATTGTCCGATTGAGAAGACCAAACGCTCTGCCAGCGTGTTGGGGAATATGTGAGAAAAGCATAGCTCGAATGATCTAAGGGTTGAGAAGAGTGCAGATAGGGTCTAAGGGACTGGTGGGCATTTCAGTATGGAGTAACCGAGTAATATCTAATTTATTTATTTAAGGGGCATTTTTGAACTTTAACAAAATACTCCATTAAAAATCACTTTTTTCTCAAACACTCCAACTTTTACCTTTTAATAAAAATCATTTCTATTTTCAAACACTACCTACTTTTACTATAATTCACTTTTCCAATAATCTCTTAAAAAAATCATTTTTAAAAAGAACAAGCAATCGCAAACACTCTCTGAGTATATAAGGCTAACCACAACCCCGTCAATAAATTGAATTTCATGCCAATTTATACGTATTAATTCGGTCAATTCAATTTTTACTACAATTCAGTACCGTCAATTTATTCATTCATCAATTTTTTTAATTAAAATCTTACTTTTATTACGAAGTATTATGTATCAAATTTTTCCAATTTTCTTTTACAGATGATTATGATTTAAAAAGTCAAACATTTTGATGTAAAAAAAAAGTAAAATTAGGGAAATAATTGAAAGATGTAAAAAATAGTCATGAGATCTTAATTTTATCACTTAAAAGTTATTTTAAGAAAAAATTTCTGAAATATATCTTATTTTTCTTAAAAAATATATTTAAGAAAAAAGATTGAGTCTAAATACACCGAACAGCAGGTTTCTTAATTTATATACTCCCTCCGTCCCCGAACGGCCGAACAACTTCCCGGTTTGACCTACACACGTATTAAGGAAATAAATTTACCATGAAGTAAATTTTACTGTTTTGACACTGCTTCAACATTGTTTGGCACTATTTGACACTGTTTTGATGTAGATAACTTGTCATTTAAAGAAATGAGAAATTAAATTTGGGTGTTTTCTAATAATATGGGAATTTTGCAATTACATTGCACAAACACAGGAGTTTTTGACCCGTTTGTGAGAATACGGGCTACAGTGTAATTGTCTGATAGATGTCTCACGTTACATTACAGTATTTGACATTTTCATGTTTGAGTGGACCGTCCTCTTAAATTAATTTGTAAATGGATGCTCTAATTGTTTTTGGGTTATTTTTTTGGTGAGAAGTGAGAACTCCGGTACCCATTTAAAAAATGGGGTATCGTACCTATCATTCTCTTGATTGGTCCAAGTAGGTATATCATTTTTTATTTAGATTTAAATAATTCAACTGCAATATTCTGATTGGTCTATGTGGACAAAGGTATGGTACTTTTTGGTTACCATAGAATCTATCTATTTTTTTTACATATCCACATGGACGTGCCTACATGTGTTTAACAATATTTAATTTGTATTACTCCATGAGTATTGGTTTTTGGGTTATTTATATTTCTCAATTTACTTTTTAATTTTTTGGAAGAACAGAACCTCTATTAAATAAATAAAAGAGGAGAGTTTACATGGGTCAAGAGAAAACCCGTAGAGCAGTACAAGGAACCCATAAGGTTGAAATATAAAACAGCCTATTCTAAAATTGAGGCCAAGAGGAGGCCCAATTGCATAGTCCAAATGAAGAGGTCCGTCTAACAGGAAACATAATGCGGTCAAAGAATGTTGGTCGATCAGTAGAGTTACGCACCAATATTAGGTAGAGAGAGGGCGTCTGTGCGAGGCCTCTTCGTCTAGTTTGTTCTACGTAGATCTTGGGATTTTCTGAGGGTAATCAGCCAGTGTCCCTGAAGAATGCCGCCCCTCTCTTATCTTCAATGTAGGCCTTCCTCACCCTCGGCGGTAGTTCATTTGCATTGAAGAAGATTGGAGTGAAGGTAGGGTTTCGGAGTCCATTTTGAGCGAGGTGATGTGCGACGTGGTTAGCCTGCCGAAGTCGATGACGGAGATGGACAGCTTTGCTTCGCATGAGATCTTTGATTGTGTTCAGATGGGCTCTTAAATACTCACGTACAGCCACCGAGCCCCTTATCATCTTGACACAAATTTCCGAATCTGTTTCTGCTTCGAAATGATTGTAACCTTTTTCTGCCATTATTTGTAAAGAGGTGCAAAGCGAGATGAACGGCCAAAGTTGTGTTTCTCAATTTACTAATTTCTGAATCTGTTTGTGTTTCTCAATTTACTAATTTGATGTTAAAATGAACGGGAAAATTAGATTTTGCATCCTAAGTGGATTACTCGTGATATTGGATTTTGCATCTCATTTTCAAAACATATAAACTTTGCACTCCATCAAATACGAGTAACATTTTGTGATTTTTTTATGAATGGGGTGCAAAATCAAAACTTTGTTAAGTGAAATCGGGGCAAAGTCAAAGTTTTTAAAAAATGGAGTGCAAAGTTCAATATCACCCAAAAAGTGATATCTTAATATTTTACTAATAACAAAATTAACCAATATTATTCTAGATTCCTAAATAAACTACTGAGTAACTAATTGAAGAAACGAATTTACTAATGTAATTTTCTGAAATGAAGAAACTAACTAAAATGTAACTTTTGAATCTTAGAGCCCATTTGGTAACAGTAAAACTAACTGAATCAATTGATTGTGCTAGGGGTGCAAATGAGCCGAGCCGCTCGTGAGCCGCTCGCGAGCCGCTCGGTCAAAGCTCGAATCGGGATCGGTCAAATTCGAGCTCGAGCCGAGCTCGAGCCGGCTCGTTAAGCAGTCGAGCCCGAGCTCGAGCCTTCTAATTTCAGGCTCGCAGGCTCGCAAGCCGGCTCGCGAGCCTAATTTTATATGTGAATATTTATAAATATATATATATATATATATATATATATATATATATATATATATATATAGAGAGAGAGAGAGAGAGAGAGAGAGAGAAAACTTCATGTCAGGCCGGCCTGACGGGCTGCCCCGTCCGGCCGAGCCCGTTTGGGCACCTTCCCGGTGGAATTTTTTGATGAAATTTTTTGAGCATGTTCCTCATCAAGTCTAGTTTGTCCATACCAAATTTCAGCTCAAAATTCGATCGGGAAGGTCGTCAAATGATTTTTGCAAGTTAACTGGTCCGGAATATGTATTTTCCGGACCAGTTAACGTGCAAAAATCATTTGACGACCTTCCCGATCGAATTTTGAGCTGAAATTTGGTATGGACAAACTAGACTTGATGAGGAACATGCTCAAAAAATTTCATCAAAAAATTCCACCGGGAAGGTGCCCAAACGGGCTCGGCCGGACGGGGCAGCCCGTCAGGCCGGCCTGATGAGAACAGCCCTATATATATATATATATATATATATATATATATATATATATATATATATATATGTATCATATAATCATATATAATATATTACTATGCAATATAAATTAATATATAATGTATACTGTTATAATGTACGGAGTAATATATATGATATACTCCCTCCGTCCCCTTTTAAATGTCTCGGAAGAGTATGACACGAGTTTTAAGAAAAGTGGGTTTGTGTGATTGATATTAATTGATAAAGTAAGAATAAAGTAAAAATAATTTTGAACCACACAAACTTTACCAAACAAGGTATGAGACAATTAAATAGGGACATCCCAATATGATAAAACGGGATATTTAAAAGGGGACGGAGGGAGTATATAATATATGCTGATTAGTAAAATTTTATACTACGTAATATTTTAGGCTTAGGTCGTTACTACTCAGTAGAAAAATTTAGAATGGGCCAATGACAGTGAATTTTTACTACGGACTCATTATGGAGCATCATAATGGTTATCGAGCCTCGAGCCGAGCCGAGTCGAACCGA